GAATGGATATCAAATAAAGGCCCATCAATGGAGAAATGGCTGAACAACTTTGTGCAATGCCTCACTTCAAAGATTGAGTTAGAGCTCTCCTGGTTGGCCTGAAGGGATTTCACAGCATTTTGCCAAGTCCAAAAGCAAGAAACAGACATATTTGTATGTAGTGTCCTAATTTTTAAAAAAGAAAAAATAAAACCCTGTTTGTGTGTAAATTGAAGGCAAGGTATTATTCTGTTTGTTGTTGTTTACCTGGTGTCAGGGGTCAAACCTAGGGCCTTGGGTGTGCTAGGAAAGCACCCTATCACTCACTGAGCTATGCCCAGTACCTAGGCGAGGTATTATTTTAAACAGTTAGAGGATGGAAGAAGGTATGGTGTCCACCATCCAGCTGTTAAGACTGGTTGCTTTGAGTTAAGTGGGAGGGTCAAGAGCCAAACAAAAAATAAGACCAAAAGAAGTCCTTTCAAAGCATCCATAATTTTGAATGTAACATGCTATACTGTGTGTGTGTGTGTGTGTGTGTGTGTGTGCGCGCATAGGAGCATGTCTGACTTAGCTTTGTGTCACATAATAAAATACCAGGGATACTGTTACGGTCGATACATTGTGTCAATGTGAAATGTTTAAAAGTTCAACTAAGTGACACAGCAGGGGGCCACGGCCAGTCCTTTGTGTTCATCCTGAGCCTGTGCAAGAGGGATTTTGTCTCAGCAACAAAAAAAAAGTAACCAAGACAAAATTTAGTACCAAGAGTGGGGTCATTGCTGTAACTATACCTGACCATGTGGTTCAAGAGCCTTGAAAAATGGCTTGTGGAAAGGGTTTAAAAAGGTTCAGAGGTTGCGCCCTAAAAAAAAGTTCTAGAAAGCCTTTAGCTGTTCTGTATGAGAGATTCTGGTCAGAGCTCAAAAAACAGAAGGCTGATAAAAATCCTACCAATAAAGACCAGGTTTGGGAGGTTGCTGCTGGAAAGGACTGCACTGGGTGCTGGATTCCAGGTGACGTGTGTTATGGTTTGGCAGAAAGTTTGTCTGCATTTTGCTCATGTCTAGAGACCTTGCCTGAGACTAAGAGTAAGGCCAGCGGACTGACTAACCTAGCAAAAAAAATGTCAAGGCAGTGAAATGTTGAGGCAGTAGCATGGCTATTCTTGGGGGCTTTTAGCCAGATTTATGTTGAGAATCAAGAGCAAAGAGCCCAGCAAGATGATTTAAAATGTTGTGAGTTTGGCCCAAAAAAAGCTCCAATAAAGCTCCAGACTATAAAGATAGAGCAGAGGAGATCTTAATTGCTGAGGAGAAACAAACAAACAAACAAACAAAATCAAAAAGATGGTCTGACATTAAAAAAAAAAAAAAGCAAGCTTCCACCCTTTGCAGCCTCAAAACTGCAGAGGTGAAACACTTTGCTTTTTAAAAAAAAGCTGCAGAGCGCCATATTCCAGAGTGGGAGTGGCAGCCATACCAGGTTCCAGAATGGCGGCAGCATAAAAAATCTGTTCCTCAAAATTAGATTCAGAGTGCCCAGCAATCCAGGCACTTGACCTCTAACAGCCAAGAGAAAAAAAACCTGGCTAGTGCTCCAGCTGGCAGCAGACCTTGGCATCATCCACGTGGCACTGGTCTTAGGTGCATGTGGAATGCAAGAGTTGTGAGGTTAAAAAGGCTTCCACCTCAATTTCCAAAGGCTGGGGAGGCCAGGCAGTGTGCCCCTGAGAGGGCAGTGTGTGCAGCTGTGAGTGAAAAGCCTGAAGTGCAGCAGAGACCTCAAAAGGTTAAGAAAGCCAAAAATGTGGATAGTCTAAAAGAAGGTGCAAGGAGAGAGCAAAACAGGCCTAAGAAAACCGCCATGATAGCTATAACCAGCAAAAGTGCCCTAGGGGTGGAGTCACACAAGTCCTTTAGAGCTCACAATGTGCCACAGACTGCCTCAGTTGCTGGACATAAAACTATGGGACTTAATGTTTGTCTGGATTTTGGACTTGCTTTGGTCCCATTCCTTTGTATTCCCGTTTGTAACTTTTAAAATAAAAACGTTTATTTTGTGCCATTAAATGTTGGAAGTGTCTATAACTTTTCATTTGTAGTGGGACTTGCAACTAAGAATTTGCCTTACATCTCAGAGGAGACTTGGGACTTAGACTTTTCAGCAATGGTAAAACTGTTAAGACTTTGATAACTTGCAGCTGGACTGACTGCCTTTTGCATAAAGGGATGTGCATGAGTCTTTAGGGGGCCTGGGGCAAAATGTTATGTTTCTAATACAATATAATGTTAATAGATTTAATATAATGTTCAAGTTGGTTCAAGTTGTTTAACAAGTTGTTTAACCTGTGTTTAACAATCCTTTTACAATGTTCAACTTGTAAAATGATAAAAATACTGTCTTTGTATCTAAAAACTGGTTTAAGGGGGGCTGGGGATTTAGCTCAGCGGCAAAAGCACCTGCCTGGCAAGCTCAAGGTTGTGAGTTCGGTTCCCGGTACCGGAGAAAAACCAAAAACAAACAAACCAAAAAAACCAAAAAAAAACAAAACTGGTTTAAGGAAATGTCTCTGGTTGCCAAGTTGACAAGCAGTGGATTTTTTTTTTTTTTTTTTTTTGGTTTTTCTCCTGTACCAGGAACTGAACTCACGACCTTGCACTTGCCAGGCAGGCACTTTGCCACTGAGCTAAATCCCCAGCCCCCAAGTGGTGGATTGTTATGGCTGATACACTGTGTTAACTTTAAAAGTTTAAGTGACTGAGCAGGGGACCAGGGTCCTTACTTTGTGTCCATCTGAGCCTGTGCAGGGGAGGCATGGAGACTGTCTGAGTGCACCCACCTCCCCATGTGGGTAGCCTGCTTACAATATAAGGGAAGAAAAGAGGCTTGTTCTTGCCCTCTTTCTGCTCTTGCTGATTCTGTCTTCTGGCACCTTCAACTGTTGCCCGTGTGCCCTGCCACCCTGCCTTGGAGCCAGCTGATTATGGATCAAAACCTCCACAAACTGTGAGCTAAATAAACCTTTCCTTCCTTAATGTTGGGTGTCAGGAATTTTGTCTCAGCAGCAACAACCAAAAAGTAACCAGCACAGACACCTAGGGAAGTCAAGTTACAGAAGCGAAGCTTTACTTTGACTCATGGTGTCAGGGGTTTAGTTCATGGTCAGCTGGCTCCATTACCCTTGGCCTGTGGGTGAGACAGAATCATCATGGCAGAAGGGTGTGGGGCAGGCAAGCTGCTCACCTCCTAACTGCCAGAAAGCAGGGAGAGAGCAGTGAGCAGAGAGCTGGAGAGAGAGGCGACAGGACAAAGCACAGCCCTCAAGCCCCACCCCAGCGACCTGCCTCTTCAGACAAGGCCTCTGCTCCCACTGAGCCCGTTCAACTAGGGAACTATCAACCGGTTCCTCAGCTTGATTAAGTTACAACCCTTGTGCTCCAGTCACCTCCCAAAAAGGCATGAGTTCCTGGTGAGTACTCACACCATGACAAGGTGTGCGCAGGTGCAGTCCCCTTCGTGTTCATAAATGCAGCCAGCCAAGGTTCCACACCCACAGGTTCAATCAACTTTGCTTCTCTTTTCAGTCAAAGTTGAAATATTCAGGAAATAGATGCAAAAATATTCAGGGAAAAATCTGCATCTGTACTCAACCCATAAACTTTGTTGGTCATTACTCTTTAAATGATACAATACAGCACTCACATTGTATCAAGTATGGCGAGCAATCTAGAAATAATTTAAAGCGGACGGGAGGATATACGTAGAGTATATACAAGTACTGTGCCATTTCACAGAAGGCGCTTGCACACCCATGGATTTTGGTACTGCGAGTCCTGGAACCAATACCCCATGGATGGTGAGGGCAACTGGAACGGGGAGAGAGAGGGAGAGAGGGGTAGGGAGGGGGGGGAGGGGAGGTGGGGAGGGCATTAACTAGGATAACTGAAGTTATGGTGGCTGTTTTCAAAAGCGTATTCCCGGGGCTGGGGATTTAGCTCAGGGGCTGGGGATTTAGCTCAGTGGCAAAGCGCCTGCCTGGCAAGCGCAAGGTCGTGAGTTCGGTTCCCGGTACCAGAGAAAAACAAAAACGAACAAACAAAAAAAGCGTATTCCCAATGAGCTGTAAGTTCTTCCTTGTATTTTTTCTTTTAAACGTTCACAAAGACCAGGTATTACTTGTACAGTAAGAAAACATCCTTATTTCCCAGACATCTTGCTCATGTCCCACCTCTGAAGTCAGGACCCTCCCTTCGACGTGCCACGTCAAGTTAGTTCAGGCTCCTCCTGTTTCTAAAGGACTCTTGCCTCGGTCTCTCCCCCGCCCATTCAGCCCGCCACACGGGAGTGGGGTGACCTCATCTGCACCCAACGCCCCATGCCCGTTAGAACCTCTGCTCCGCCCACTCTGCCCCCAAAGCAGCCGTTCGAACCCTCAGTACTGCCTTCATCAGCTGTTCCCTGAAGACTCATGCACTGCCTTCCGCAGCCCCACCCGCAGCGCCCGCCTTCCGTTTTCCTGCAGTTCTCTGCGCAAATTAGCACAGCAACAAAATGGGATTTTTTATGATTTGCTTTCTCCCTCTCTCTCCATTCACTACGAGCTCTTTGAGGGTAGGTCTGTATCTTCAGGGTCTTTACTGAATGAATGCATGAATCAAACGATCAACACATCTGTAAAAGCAGAACCCAAAACATTAAATATAGATGCAAGTCAACCATGTGCAACATCAAAGCCTTGGAAAAAAGGTTGAAGGGCAAATACTTTAAAGGGTTTTGTTTTTTTTTTTAATGAACTGCTTTTTAAATTGGCTGCCAGGAGTTCTGCCGAGGAATAATTTATACATTACCAAAAGTTAACTACAATTTAAATACCTGTAAAAATAAAACTGGGAAGGCAGGAAGGAAGCCACTATCCCCGTTTGAAATGAAGCAGAAGGTTAGTGCTCATCTTGACATGGCGCTAGTTCCAGGACAGGACCTCTCCCCCACAAACACAGCCCGGCGGGGGGGTTACTTACTGGAGTTGAGCAGGATCATGGCCTTGACGCACAGATATTCTTTGTGCTGCAGTTTTAGCTCACGAAACCTTGAGGTTGTTGCCAGGAGCATGTCAAAGATTTCCAGAATTCCTTCTACACATTTCCCCTCATCCCTACAAAAGTTCACGTAGGAATTTAAGGAACACACAGCTTCAGGGAACCATCACAAGCAATAAGAAGCATTTTGCTTTTTCGTCTCTAATTTCACTTCGAACATCCTTTGACTACGATGAAGTATTAATAAAGGCACAGCCAACAAGAGGAAGTTGCTAGAATCACCTTCATCTAAAGAAGGTGTGCCGGGCATAGCTCACCAGTACAGTGCCTGCCTTTCATGGATAATCCCAGCATTACAAGTAAAAATCTTAGAAATCCTTCGTGTAAACATTCATATCACTACTTAGGCAAAAGTGTGCCCCAGAACTACATTTTTTCTTCTACCTTCTCACCAAATGTTTTCTCAAAGGAGTAAAACTGCTGTTGATTATTTTTCAATCTAAACCATTTCAGGCCTAGCTAGATACCACACACGCTACTACAAGGAGATGTCCCGTGTTCCCTCAGGAAGTGCTGAGGGAGACTGAGATTACAGAAGCAAATACCCCAAGAGGAATAAATCTTCCTGCCTAGGGCTTCACTTTCACTTCCTCATGGTCATGTAGCAACTAAGAGACACTTAAATGTGATTTGAAATAAGTGAATGTGATGTACAAAGAAATCACAATTGAAGATGGACTAGTCAGGAAAAGATAGATATGGGGATATGGAAATTTTTGATTGGCTGAAGATTTTTTTTTTTTTTTTTGACATGGACTCTTGCTATGGTGCCCAAGCTGGTCTTGAACTCCTGGGATCAGGCAATCCTCCTGCCTCAGCCTCCCACATAGCTGGGACTACAGCCACAAACCTGCTCACTCAGCCTGAAGACTGTTTTATTTTTAAGCAAACGTTTTAGACAAACCTTGGAACTATATAATCGAAGTTTTTTTTTTTTGAGTACTCCTTACAGAAATGAATTTTAAGTACACCTTTGAGGTAAATTTTACTTTATCTAGAAAATACTGGCTTTTATTCATTCTACTCAGACACACATTATTCCGCCTCATTGCTCTAAAAAAAAAAAAAACTATTATCATCAGTTAAAGTTCTTGGAGGTCCTTGACAAGAGGTTGGTGATTTGGCCACAAAACCTTGCTCCTGAAAGCTTGCAGCAGAGAGGGAAGGGACCCTGCTGGCAGTGGGTTTCTTGGACCTCATTTTTAGTCTCTTTAGCTGCCCCTGAGGGAGCATGAGGTCTCCAAAGAAGCAGCTGCTCCTTGCCCCCTCCCGCATCCCCTGGCCAGAACAAGGGGCAGCCTTGCAGAATTCGGATGACCTGACACCGCTGGGTACCTAGGTGCTCAGCAAGGATGGCAGCTCTTCAGGGGCCTATGTGTCACAGCATTTGCAACCCCGCAGACTCACCTTACAGGGCTGCAAACACGAAAATTGCTCACTTTGGCAAATCAGAATGGTATCTGCAAACAGATGCCGCTTTCGGGAGGCATCCAGGTTAACTGACACAATACTAGGGACCCCTGGAAGCCACTCACAGGAAAGAGCGCCTTGGAGGGCGAGAGCCCTGGGGAAGGACTGCCAGAGTCTGTGGGAAACCCCAGTCCTCTCCATGGGCCATCTCCCCACCTCCCCCGACCCCTTCCTCAGCTCTGGGCTTCAGTGAGGAGGACGCTGGCCCTGCACGTACAGAACAGGTGCACAGGAAACACCCGTGCACTGAACGCCTCTCGTGCTGCCGGTCAAATCTCTCCAGCTAATTGGGGACAATTAATTACTAGAAAGTGTAACTGCTGAGCTTGAGAACATATGGTACCAAGGAAAACTGATTTTGCAGTATCACTTAGGGACAAAAACAAAAACCCCACCAACTCCTGCACTGATGCCTTAATAGAATGACTCTTAGTCCTTCTCTGAGAGTCAAAGCCACAGGTGGGAGCATGCGCGCACTCACACACACACACACACACACACACACTTCCCCAAGGAAATGCGTCTGAAATCAACCAAACTTGCCGGAAGTCGCTTGCTGGGCTAAGAACAGTCCCCACATACTGAGATCAGTACTATTTCCTCATTAAGTAAATGCCATTTTAAATAAAAATTCCTATTTCAAAAATGGAGAGAGAGTTTCTTGGGGCATGTGAAACCTGATGAATACTGAATTCACGGTACTCAGCATACGTGCTCATGGAAAAAGTGAACTTCTAAACCAGTGACGGTGAAACTTTCAGAGACCAAGTGCCTAAACTGCAGCCCAAAACCCACTTATTCATCACAAAGTGTCAACACTGCAATTAAATCTGAATGCTAGGTTTTAGCTTAGAAAAAATAACCGTTGGGGCTGGGGATTTAGCTCAGTGGCACAGCGCCTGTCTGGCAAGCGCAAGGTCACGAGTTCGATTCCTGGTACCGGAAAAGAAAACAAAAACAAAAGAAAAAATAAGCGTTGTCTGAGGCTTAGCTGCTGGGGTGACTTGACTTGCATGCCCACAAAGAGGGCTCTGTGTGCACCCTACAGCATGCATGCCAGAGGTTTGTCCCCACAATCTAAACCTATCCTAAGGCATAGGTCTGACTTCTTTCCTGCTTTCTTTAGCAGGTGTAACAGACAATTATTGACTTCAAGGTTGGTTTGATCGGCACATTGTTGCACTATTTTAACAATGAAATCATATGTTCCCCATCTTTAATTCAAATCTTTGACTCCTAACTTTTTACTTATAACTCAGTTTCAATCCATAAGTAGGATATTTATTAATTTCAAAGTTGGAATATTTTATTAACTTCACGGGCTGTGGAAAGCAAATATATTTTTAGAAAATAAATGATAAATATAGGGGGCAGAAAGTATAGTACCTCATTAGTGACAGTCTAGTAAAGTTCTACTTTAAGAGTTTATAGGGGGCTGGGGATTTAACTCAGTGGCACAGCGCCTGCCTGGCAAGCACAAGGTCATGAGTTTGATTCCCAGTACTGGCGGGGGGGGGGGGTGGGGGAGAGTTTATAAAGAACAAAGCAAGGAGGGTACCTTAAAAATTTGATGAAATCTATTTCATTTATAGTTATGGATCAAAACTGAGTTAAAAGAAAAATTAGGACAGAAGTCAAGGATGTGAATTAAAAACAGAGAACATATGATTTCAATGTTAAAATACTGCCATAATGTCAGTCAAACCAAGCTGCTCCTGGAAATACACTTTCTGCACACCATTTACCCATAAACCAGTACAAATTTAAAAAAAATTAGCGATTATCTATGAAATAGCTTACCACTTAATAATTGCTCTTTTATTTAAAAATCTATCCTGTGTGGTGGAACAGCAAGAGGTAGAATGAGTGGGCCCCATCTTGGGGTGCACTGTGTGGAACCTACATATGTATCCGCTGTTCCTACGTGTGTATTTGTGGGGCCACCTCAAAGCAGAGTCAAGGCTCAGCACAAGCAAAGGGCTTACTAAACACTGAACCGAAGTGAGATTATTGGAGACGAAAGGTAAATTAAAATTTAGACGTGAAAACTTTAATAGCTGTCTTGAAGAAAATTAAACCTGTCACCGCAAGTGTGTGTGTGTAAACTCAGCACATTCACACTCATTTGACTCCAAGGCGCTCCTGTAAACATCCACAGGAGGGCTCAGGCCCCAGTCCAAGCTTCCTCCCACATTTAATAACATTCAGCAGGAGACAACGTCCAGACACCAAAACGTCTTGGTTTATGTGTGTGCGTGTGTGTGCGTGCATGTGTGTGCGTGTGTGTGTGTGTGGTATCAGGTTAATCTCAGAGCCTCTTGCACGCTAGGTAAGCACTCTTCCTGAGGCACAGTCGCCCCCCATCCACCACTTTTTGAGACAGGGTCTTTGCTGTGTCATAAAGTTGTCCATGCTGGCCTTGAACTTGCTATCTCCCTGCTTCAGCCTTCTGAGCGGCTGGGATTTCAGGCATGAGTCACTGCCCAACTGTTTATGCTTTTCTTTTCCAATACTGAGGACTGAGCTAAGGCCTTTGCCCTGAGCTACAGACCCATCCCTCCACTTTATTTTTTATGTTGAGACAGGATCTCAAGAAGTACTATTTTAACCAGACAGGCTCAAACTTATGATTCTCCTGCTTTGTAGCCTCCCAGAGAGCTGGGATTCCAAGTGTGTGCCACTACACCTAGGTAAGATATTTTAAGTAGAAGTTCAGGTATTGTGGTAACTCTTGACATCAATTTACGATTCTAGAAGAACTAGCTTGTTGGAAATAAGATGAACTAACTGCATTTCCATCTCACCTTCAGCAGATTCAAGTTTACCTTAAGGGGCTGGGGATTTAGCTCAGTGGCACAGTGCCTGCCTGGCAAGCGCAAGGTCGTGAGTTCAATTCCCAGTACCGGGGGGGGGAAAAAAAAAAAGTTTACCTTAGCTCAACAAGAATAATGGAACTGGGCATGGAGATGCATGCCTATAATCCTAGCACTTGGGAGGCTGAGGCAGGAGAATTGCCGCAAGTTCAGGCTGAGGCTATGAAGTAAGTTTAAGACCAATCTGAACTATATAGTGAGACCTTGTTTCAAAAAAAAGAATAATAGGAAATGGAAATTGTAGTCTCAGTAGCCATTAACATGCTAATTTAGTTGAATTCATTGCCTATATGATCATAAAACCACATGAAGGAATGCTGGCAGGACAACCCAGATAAAACCTATTTTTAAGTAGTATGAAGATTATTTACTTTGCAAAAGACTTTATAACTCCTCCAGAAACATACCTATTACACATAAAAGTATATTTATCTATGAGACACATTAAGTAAATTATCTTAGATTTGAAACTCTAGACTTCACAAAGTTAATATTCTGCCAATACTATAAGATCACAACAAAAAATAGTAGTGAGCACTCCAAATGAAAAAAAAAGCCTGCTGTTGTCCAGTACGGTGGTGCACACCTGTGATCCCAGCACCGAGGAAGGTGAGGCAGGAGGGTCGCCAAGCTCAAGGCCAGCCTGGGCTACATAGTGAGACCCTGTCTCAAAAGGACCATAACAATCAAAACCAAAACAAAAGGCCTGTGTAATGTAAATGCACTTATGAAATTCCTCTATAGTCAGTGCAATATACTAAATTTATGTTATAAACCATAACACTTTCAGATTTTTATTGAGAAATATGAATCTATTAAAAACTTTTTCTCCTGTTACCTAACAGGGAGGCATATACCATTTATCCAGGATTGGTGTCCATGTATAGTAACTGAAACACAGTAATTTAAACACAAGGAATTAAGGAACCCATACAGAGAAAGGGAAGAGTTAACTGTAATGAAAACCAGAAATGAAAGCCACTGAAACTAAACAGTTGGACATTAACTTAGAAATAAAGACAGAAAGTAAATTTAATCCCACTATCTGCAAACTCATTGGCTCATCAAGAGACAGAACATTTTTCCAGCACCAGAAACTCTAGAAGAATTAGATATGTATATTCACACATACATGTGTGTGTGTGAAGGAGTGTGGCTTTATTTAAATCATCAAGTGGAAATGAATGAATGAATGGATATAGCAGCTTGGCTGAGTGCCTGGCTTTTCAGCTTGCCTAGCAACATGGGACCCTGAGAAGACAGCAGGAGGACTGGGCTTTTGAAGTGGGCAGAAATAGGACAGAGCTGTTCTAAGACAAAAGAAAAGTAGAAAGTTAGCCCGCCTTTCAGCTTCCTCTTTCCCCTCCGTTCTCTCTCCTGCCAGGAGGCAGTGTGCTGTTGTCATTCAGAGTGCGGACTTCAGCTGGGGCATGGTAGTCTCACCCAGAATCCCGGCTAGTGGGCAGAGTGGGGTGGCTGAAGCAGGAGGACCACATGTTCAAGGGCAGCCTGGGTGACTCAGGGAGTTCCTGACTCAAGATTTTTTAAAGAACGGGGATACACCTCAGCGGTATGCTCGAGGGCGTAGGTTCAAACTCCAGCATGGGGGGAAAAGGGAAAGTGTAGACTTCAGAGCCATTTGTTCAAGGCCAGTTCCACCACTTGCTGCTCTGTGACTGGAGGCCAATCCCTTAACCGTCTATGTCCATAGCTGGAGAACAGGGATGACAACAGCGCTTACCCCCAAACGGATGTTGTGAAGAAGATTAAATGGGTCAACAAATGCAAGTGCTTAGATGGTGCCTGGTACATACAACCAGTAAGTTAGTCACTCTGATTGTTACTGGAGGCTCTGGATGCCCCGCCCGCCCTGGGCTTCCAGGGCGTCCCTCTGTGGTCCACCACCTGGGCTTGCTCCTGCTCAAGCCACATCCCACGCTTCTGCTCGTCCTCTGTTCTCCACCAGAACACCTCCATTACTCAGAACAGTGCTCTTTGTCAGTGTCAGCCGTGACAACAGGCAGAATGGGTGCTGATACCTTGAGGCATCACTCTTCATCTGCATGCCGTGCGAATGGGGGTCTTCTGAGGACCTAAAGTGGTAGCAGGATGACGATGCAAGGGTTGGGGCAGGCACTTTGGGCTCACAGCCCCAGGCACCCTCCTTATGCTGGGCACAGTCAGCTGTGGCTGAACACTCCACACCAGCACTTTTCCAAACTAAGGGGAAGCGGAAATCAATTTCCACGGAGATTTTCAAACCGCTCAAATATACACCAGGAATTTTCTACTTTTCTTGCAAAAAGGCTTGAAGGTTATTGCATTTTCCCTCTAAAAACAGTTTGACTAAGTCAATTAAAAATGTGTTCCTTCTCTGCGCTCTCTTTAAAAGAAAACTAAATGCAAACAAGTTGCGATATTAGCTCTGTCACGTCTCCATTCCCGTCGACCTCATTTGGTTTTAATTATGCCTTCCAACATGATTTCAAAATGTTATTAATAGCATGTGCATTAGAGTGAATTAAAACACATAAAAATAAATTTGGCAGATTCGTAAGAATTCTACCACCTGTCCAGAGAGGTGGAGATGTAATGAGTTGCTACAGGTGGGAGAAAACAGCAGGACAACTTAAGGTTATAACCTGAAGTGGAATCTTTAAGGCGGGAAAGTCTATGCTGACGGTACAATTAGCGGTCGCAGACCCTGCGGGACACACTCCCTCTCTGTGGCCCTGGCCTTTGAACGCTAAGTTCTAACCTCCACCGTAGAGTTAGAAAGGATCACAGGACAATGAGTCCCTGTGCTTGAGCCTCGTGTCCTCGGGTCCTTGGCCCAGGGAAGGAGCTGAGGACATTACCATCCCCTATTCGTCCTTTGGGGGGTGAGATTTGAAGTGCTGCTCCCAAGACTTTGTTCTCACTAAGTGCTCTGCTCAAGGCAGAGAAAACGCAGCAGCAGTGTTTGTCCTCACCTGTCCAGAACAAGGTCTGGAGCGAAGATGAGCTTGCCGGGGTGGTCGATTGAGCGCCACATCAGCCCCACCATCAGCACCTCCATCCAGCAGCTCTCCAAGAGCCGCACTTGGTCCAACAGGCTGAGCTCCACGAAGCCTGGGGAAAGCAAGAGGCCGTGAGACACACCCGCCCTCCTCCTCCGCAGCCCCTTGCTGTAAAGACAGAATGGCAAGTTTATAAAGGAAGAAATGTCTGGGACTTAAAATACACAACTCGAAGTTGCCAGTCCTGGACTCCTAAAGAAACAGTTTAACATTGCTTTGGTTTGGACAGTGACTAAGTCAGCTGATGGGGGAATCACACCTTAAGATTATGCTTAAGTTTTCTGGAAAGCTTTCAAAAAAAAAAAAAAAAAAAATCCACCAGCTTGAAAAGGGACTAATGCAGCTTAAACGTTCAGTTTTTTAAGTCACAAAGAAGCTCCACAGCCTTCAGTGATAATTTCACTACCGCTCTGCATGTGAGGTCCTGCAAAACAGTGTTTGCAACGCACTTACAGCAGACACCAAAGGAAAGTGCATCAGCGTTTTCTGCTCTGAGAAGCAGCGGAGAAAATGAAAGAATTCTGACAAGGGTGAAGATGCTGGACAAAACAAAACAAAATGGAAATAAGCCTCAGAAAGCTCCAAAGGAACAGACCCGGGCCAAGAGACGACGGCAGGCAGTGCTGTCACCGAGGGCCTTGGCTCCACAGCCCCCGACGGCTCTGCACCCAGCCTCTCATCCGACCCCGTCTTCACAGTCTCCCTAGTGTCGTGGAGCCCTGCGGGCCATGGAAGCACTTTCCAGCTCAGAGCTGGAGAGAGACCTCGTTTCTTAGATGACTGCAAAGAAGTGGATGGAGAAGCTTGTTCAGGGGGGTGATGGATTGCTGCCATTCTACATTAGGGTTCTAGTTTCACTCTGCCACAGATAGAAACTCCAGCTAAAATGAAGGTTGGTCATTTCAGCATGATATAGTATTCTACGTGCAGGTATTACTCAAATTACAGCAGGGTAACAATAGGATAAGCTGAAAGGAAGTTGAAAATACCGTAAGTAAAAAGTGCATGTACAGCCAGGCACATGCCTGCAGTCCCAGTTATTGGAAAGGATGAAGCAGGAGGATCACTTGAGCCCAGAAATTTGAGGCTAGCCTAGCCCACAGAGTGAGACCCTAGCTCAAAAAAGACCAAAAAAAAAAAAAAAAAAGGATTTAATAAACCTAACCTACCAAATGTAACAGCGACCTTCACCTACCTTAAACATGCTCAGAACGCTTAGCATAAGTTGGGTAAAAGTCATCTAGCACAAAGCCTATTTTATAATAAAGTGTTGATTATCTCATGGTGTTTATGGAATATTGTACTTTAGGAGAAAAACAGACCACTTGCGTGGATGTGCTTTCAGACTCATTAGGTGGAAAAATTCTAAGCTGAACCATAAGTGGGGAATTATCTGTACACATTACAAACAGCCTAGGGAAGTGGTCACTCTACAGGATGGAAAAATATACGTTCTAAATGACAAAGCACAAGTGCTTAATTTGTTACCATCCCGAAACTACTGACCCATGGATTCTTGTGATGCCAAATCCTAATTTATTCTGTTTATTCATGTATAATCATTTCTGTGTACAACACTGGTACTTTATTAGAACAACATCCTATTCCTACTTAGCATCTGAGACACCTTTCCCTTTCGCAGCAGTCACACTGCGTCCCGACCTGACCACACTGCTCCTTTCAAGGCAAGAAGTCCTCAATGCGGAGGCCGTATCCTACCTTTTAACCATGGTCCCAGACCCGAGCCCTGGAACGTCTTGCCCAAATGGTCCCAAAGCTAACTCCAGAGCCTCGGTGGGTCTCTGCTCTGGGTCCATCTTCCGGCCCGCCCCTAGGCACAGGAGGCAGCTAACAGGCAGTATGCACGGGAGATGTGGACACGCGGGATGTGGTCTGCACAGGTGGAGTGGAACAGCTTCGAGGGGGAGGGGAGAGGGTCAGGAAGAGAAACAGGTCACGCACAGCCTTTCCCATACTACCATGTCTGGTAGAGAAGAACTCGGATCCCAAGAATGCTCCACCAGGCTTGGCTTCTAGGAAATGTTGAAGGTACACAGGCCAAGATAGGAGGAGAGAACGTATTTTATATTAAGCTTACAAATCAAGAGGTCAAACTGTGAACTATCTAGACAAAGTTCATGGGTGTCCATTTTGTACTCTTGTCCCCAAAATGGCGGGGGCAGGACTTCCTGCAAATCAGTGGCACGTGAAGAGCCCCAGGGCCCTACCGGGAATTTTCTTGGCCCAGCCGATCATGTGCACCAGCTCCTTGTCGGCCAGCTTGGTGAGGGACATCATCATGGAGGCCTCGGTGAAGGGCGCGCTGGGCCGGCTCACCAGCACGTTGGGCGGCTCGGCCTCCAGCAGGGTGAGCACCAGCTGCTCCGGGCTCAGAGCGCTCAGCAGCAGCTCCTTCGCCCGGGGCGCGTGGCCCCCCTGCTTCTTGGCCTTGCTCAGGCAGTGCGGCGGCTCCCCCGGACTTCTCTGTCTTCGCACCACTCGGTACCCACACCTTTCTCTCCGGGAGCCTAGGGGGAAGAGCAGAGGTGGAGACAGTCCCTTCTCTGACCCAGACTCCAGCACCTTGCCGGGCCAGGACAAAAGAGGCAGCAATGATACCATCTGCAACGATGTCTCACAGGCTGCGGTGCATTCTCTATTCTCAGGACGTGTCTGGGAACAGAAGCTCCACTTTTATTTTCTGTGCAGCATGGACCAAAAATTACTACAGCTGTAACAGTACTGGCAACATCAAATAGCATTTTAAGAATGGGGAGGGGTCCTCCTCTTCAAAGTCACGTACAGACATTAAAATTATCTCTCTTAAAGACTGCTAACGTGCTGCAATTTCCAAACTATGAGACCAGGAATTATCTTAAGGTAGAAAACAGAAAAATGAGGACCCCAAGGTGGATATTTCCCAATAGTCATCAAATAATATACTTTTATAATGTATTCTTAAAATGCTTACACAAATACATATATACACACATACATATGTATTCTTTTTATATAGTATTCATACAAACAAGTATACACCAAATAAATTAATCCAAAAATTCTGAAAAATAAAGAGAATGAATTCTAGCACAAATTCTTTTCATCTTTTTTTCCCACTTTTCCTTATTATTATATGTTGAGTTTTTATACTTTTCCATATTTTATAAAGAAAATTAGAATTGTGATATAGTATATATACTATTTCATAACCTGCTTCTCTTTTTATTAAAAATGTCACTATGGCAGTTTAAAAGCCTATAGCATTCTGTCCTATTAGTACAGCATCACCTATTTAAAAAGTCCTCCACTAGGCTGAGGCAGGAGGATCACTGTGAGTTTAAAACCAGCCTAGGATACATAAGTGAGCTCAAGGCCAGCCTGAACTGCATAGCGAGACCCTATCTCAAAAAGACCAAAAAAAGTCCTCCACTGATTTAAATCTATAACTTCTTTACTAGTTTAAATATTACAATGAAAATAATTTGGGGGGGCTGGGGATATAGCTCAGTGGCATAAGCACCTGCCTGGCAAGTGCAAGGTCGTGAGTTCGATCCCCGGTACTGCAAAAAAAAAAAAAAGATTTAGGGCTCATCTCTGGCCTGAAATAATAATTTTTGCACACGTAGCCAATAACTTCTTTATAATAAATTCAAAGAGATCAAATTATTGAAATCAAGACATATATTCATTTAAAATTTTAATAAATGTTGACAGATTACCCACCAAAAGTAGTATGTAAAAATTTACCCTGGGCATTAAAAATCAAAATCAATCTCAATCTCTCTTCCTCCTCCCTGAGATTGAACCCAGGGCCTCACACATATTAGGCAAATGCTCTACTACTGAGCTACATCCTCAACTCCGAAAATCATTCTTAACCTTCGCTAATCTAGGAGTGACTGAATAGTCTTATCTTTGTATTTTTAAAATTACTAGTAACATTAATCAATATTTGCCTTTTGTATTTATTTGTACACTGTTTATTTGCTTATACTGCCCCTTTTCCCCTTTAAACCTATGAATGTTCTTAATATAGTAATAACATAATTTTTGTTATACAATATTTGTCTAGTTATATGGCTTTTAACTTTCCCCATGATATTTTTGTCATAAGAAGCTTTAATACATAGTCAAATTTGTCTTTTTGTTTCACATCAAGATTATATAAATAGTATTCTTTATCTTCATAAACACTGTTTGGCTCAAATCTATTTAAAATTTTATGCATATCTGAATTATGTGTTATTGATATTTTGTGTTGTATTCTCCAAACTAATGTACAATTTCTTCAATACTAGTTACTAGCTAGGCATGGTGGCACATGCCTGTGACCCCAGCACTTTGGAGGCTGAGGCAGGAGGATTGCCATGAGTTCGAGGCCATCCTGGGCTACGTAGTGAGTCCAGGCCTGCCTGGGTTACATAATGAGACCCTGTCTCAAAAAAACGCAAAAACAGTTACTGTATACATTTTCCTCATTGATTTAAAATGCCTTGTCATTAATAGATAACTTTATATAACTATAATAAAGTTTATAACTTATATAAATTATATATAAAGTTTATATAACTATATAAGACTATAACTACATAAAAATGTCTTTTTCCAGATTCTATGCTGTTTTTTTTTTTTGTTTTTTTTTTTTTTTTGGTTTTTCTCCGGTACCAGGAACCGAACTCACGACCTTGCGCTTGCCAGGCAGGCGCTTTTGCCGCTGAGCTAAATCCCCAGCCCCTCTATGCTGTTTTATAGATCTATTTTTCTGTTCCTATGCTAGTACCAAAATGCTTTTACTACTGTAGTCTCATAGATAGGAACATAATGGGACAGAGTCTTTCAGATGATAAAGGAAAATAATCTGAATTCTGAGTTATATTCCCAGCTAACCTATTATCCAAATATGAGAATAAATTAAGGATATTCACCATTGAACAAAGATTGAGAAGACGTAACACTCACCACCACGTATGTGTCCTTTGGGAGGGAGAAAAATGAACCAGAAAGAAACACTAATGATCAAGAAGTAAGGGTAAGAAAATAAACTGGTAAATACGAAATTAAATCAAGAAAATTGAAAGAATAAAATGATAATTGTTTTTGGAGATAAACAAGGTACAACAAAAATACCAGACAATAACATATAAGTGAGAGAGGAATGATTTTGGTTAGAATTTTCTAAGTTGCTTTATTTGAGAAGGGAGAGGCTTAAATTTTCAAATTGATCACGAATGCACATTAAAAATAGAAATGTCACTACAGGACTAAAACAGAATGCATGCCTTCCAACCTAGCAGTAAAGGAAAAAGAAACATGCGAAACTGTGATCAGCTCCTGCAAGGAAAGAAATAGAAATGTGTGATAAATTACTTCATGCGTTCATTCATTCATGTATGTTCAGAGAAAGGTTTCCCTATACAGTCCAGCCTAACCTTGAGCTTACTATGTAGCCCAGGCTGGCCTCAAACTTGCAATCCTCCTGCCTCAGCCTCTTGAGTGCTGAGACTCGTCATTATACTATAAAAGAAAACCAAATAATTCTAAATATACATCAAAATGACAACAGGACACAGCCTCCAAGCACAATGCATGGAAAGTAAAATAATATGAGAATCAATAATGCTACTATAGTGAGATGTTTTAACATACTGCTCTTTTTTTTTGTTGTTTTTTTTTTTCCGGTCCCGGGAATCAAACTCATGACGTTGTGCTTGCCGGGCAGGCACTGTGCCGCTGAGCTAAATCCCCAGCCCCTTAACATAGTGCTCTTGGCAACTGGCAGAACAAACAGGGGAAAAAGCGGAATGGAGAACTCTAAGCCAGCCTGGGCTACATACAGTAGTGAGTTCAAAGCCAGCCTACACTAAAAGCAAAACCTGTCTAAAAAAAAAAAAAGACATACAGATATCACTTTCTGTGATAACAATAAAATAGGAACAAAATATAACTTCTACACCCTTATAAATTTGTATACCCTTACAAATTTAAGCCCCCAAATATTTCTAAATATTCATTTACTAAAGATAAAAATATAAAATTAAAGTGAAGAAAAACATACCATAAGTTAGCATGTCATTAGCATAGGTATAAACTTTATGAATATTCCCTAAAAAAAAAGTTCAAAAAATAAAAACCTACAACATGCTTAGTGTTTATACTCCCATCGCTGTGTGTTCACTAAATCTAACTGTCCACGTTTTTATGAAGAAGTACTAGCTAGAAGGTATGAGAAAATTTAAATTTTTTTTCAGCTTCACTTTATCGGATTAGTACGTGTTTGTAACTCATGCAGTATCTTGGGGAGTGGCTACATGTGTATATTACAGCTTGTTTTCCTCTTCTCTTTTTTAACCCCTTTCCCCTTCCCTCTTCCTTCTCCTCCTCCAGCTCCCCAATCACCTTTTTTATTACCTGTTGAAACTATTTCTCTCAGCTCATGTTATGGCCTATAATATTTACATTGACTGGGGCTATTCGGAGCCTGTACATGGCACATCTTTATTCCTCTCATTTCCCCCTCCCCTCCCTCAAAAATTTAAATTATTAACTCCTAAAAAACTGTATCAGAGCCGGGCGTGGTGGCACACGCCTGTAATCACAGCACTCAGGAGGCTGAGGCAGGAGGATTGTTGCAAGTTTGAGACCAGCCTGGACTACAAAGTGAGCTGAAGGTCAGCTTGAAATGTATAGCGAGACCCTGTCTCAAAAAGAAAAAAAAAAAAAAAAAGAATTGTATCAGAATTTCCTTTTAACCTTGGCTAAAGATTATAGCACAAGGTTATAGTACAAGGGTAGGATCTATCTATTCCGGGACACTTTAAACAAATATATTACTAAAGTAATTAGGAGCTTACCAGTAGTGGTGATCCTATGTCATGCACGCCACAGCAGGCTGTTTGTATCACTGAAAGCTCTAAAAGGTTCATCACTGGCTTGGACTATATTTTATTAATAAGCAAAGTGCCATAGATGTTTAACATCAGTTATGCTCCCCCAGGTAAAACTGAACAAAATGTATGGCTTAAGATAGCAGTTTTCTGATCACACATTTCTCTTTTGTATAGTGTATGAGCATAAAGAGTTTAAAAAACAACCCAAAGTTAGTGATTTTGAATCCACACACTTAAATTTATTTGAACAAGTTTTACTGAAAAGTCCTATGTTCCAGGCCTTGTAGTGAGGGAGTTCTAGAGATTCTAGGCTCAAAAAAGTGAAACTCTTGGTAAGAAACAGTGTCTCCTATTTTCCTATCAAGGATGTTTCTAGTATTGTGGCTTTGATGCTACAATCTAGGCACCTGCCTCTGACTGAGTTTTTAATAAGATACTCTACCAAAGAGAGGTGATCCAGTTAGACAGGAGTAATGGCTCCAGCCAAAGGATGATGAATACTAAATGATTATAAAGCCAGCTAGTGTCACCAGAAGCTTCCACATACCAGGCATTGTGTACCACATGCAGGTCACCTATCTCAAACCAACAGCTACCCCAGAGAACAGGTGCTATTCCTAACTCCAATGCACAGAGGAGAAACCAGGCACAAGAGAACACAAATAAACTGTCCAAGGCAGGAAGCTGGAAAAAGAGACAGGATCTAAGCCCAAAGAGGAGGCTAAATCCACGGCTCATGCTTTTAACCTTTATTTTATACCACCTAGCGAATCCTTTCCCTGGAAGTATATAAAGCAGGTAAACAAGGAAATGGGACCCAAAAGATGCTGAGCTACCATCCCAGCACAGGGACCCAGACCAAACATGGGGCCAGTCCGACTGTTTTCCTGGCTATGCACAAAGCAGAGTATCTTTATACGGTCCTGCTACCATTTAACCAAGCACATCAGCACTACAGCAGAAAAGAGATCAGAAATATAGATGAAAAAGTAACAGGAGACACATGATTTGTGAATAAAGAGGGATGCAGACGGCCCAGGAGTATCCTTAGCAAAATCCTTCACACTCTCAAACCTCAAGAAGGAAGGACGTGGACAGAAGCGCTTAGGGAAGGGCAGACAAGGTGAGTGCCAGGGAGGGAGACACAGTTAAAATCTAATGGTCTTTCTGTGTGGTCGGCAAAGAGCTCAGTATTCAACTGTGTGTAAAGCAACTCCTACTTTCCGTAACCTCTTTTCCCTAAGGGATCCTACCACATGACTTTGGCTAAAGCCAACCCCTTTCTTTAGTTCTCCTTTCCTTAGAGATTCTTTATCTCTCTGCTCTTGTGAAGCTGTATTTTATCAAAGTCATAACTCATGTGAGCTCTTCTAGGAGGGAGAGAAAGAAAGAAAACTAAGATGGAGAAAGGGACACTGTGTCTAGTCTAGTCCTCAACACGTCTTCGGACTTACTCCTTGTGAAACCAGTGGAGCAGAGAGCTGTTTCAGATATAAGAAAACCAACAGCCAGAGAGCTTAAGGAGTTTCCTCACAGTCACACTTAGCAAAAAGCGAAGAACCAAAAATGAGATGCATCTACGAGAATCCAACTCTCAGGGCCTTGCCGCCGTGAGAGAGATCAGAAATACAGATGAAAAAGTAACAGGAGACACATGATTTGTGAATAAAGAGGGATGCAGACGGCCCAGGAGTATCCTTAGCAAAATCCTGACAAGGGCCACAGCTGTCCAAGCAGTATATAGATCTGAGTATAAATACACGCACCCTCACCCTCGCACAAAACTGGAAATCACTTCTCAAAAACACATATACATTCATCTTCATGATTTCCCCCTCAAGCTCACCCACACCTAACTCACCAGCTATTATTAGTCCTTTACAGTTTTATTCAGAACTTTCAACTAAGCTTTCACGGAAACAGCTGTATTTTCTACTCATATTTCATGTGTTTGCAGAAATTCAAATTAAATTATATGATGTAATAACTGCAATAATTACAAAAAGGTTTGGGAAAAACTCCACTGGATTCTATTAAGGATTTAACTGAAGTGGTGGGGGCAGAAATATTCAAGTGTTTGGGAGAGCAACCAATACACACTGGGAGGTCATGAGCATCCGCAGTGTATCTGTCAGCCTTCCGTCACTGTCACAAATACCTGACAATTACCTCATAAAGAAAAAAAGTTTATTTTGGCTCAGAGTTTGAGGTTGCAGTCCATGACCAGAGAGACCCATCCTTTCAGGTCTCTGAGCAAGTACCTATGTTGGGAAGCACAAGGGCACGGGGCAGGGGGCAAAACTGCTCACCTCATGGCAGAAAGTAAAAAAAAAAAAAAAGAGAGGCCAAGAAAACAAGCTTCAGCCGGGCGTGGTGTTGCATGCCTGTAATCCCAGCACTCAGGAGGCTGAGGCAGGAGGATCATTGTGAGTTCGAGACCAGCCTGGGCGACAAAGTGAGCTCAAGGCCAGCCTGAACTGCATAGCGAGACCTTGTTTCAAAAAGACCAAAAAAAAAAAAGAAAACAAGGTTCTAAAATTCCTCCAAAGGCACATCCCTAATGACCTAAAGACCTCCTACTCAGCCTCACATCCTAAACTCCATCACCCCAACAGCACCACCCCAGGACCAGACCCTTGTCTCCTGACCTTCGGGGAACACTCAAGATTCCAACTGTAGCAGGTGGGATGTTCCACAGAGAAAAGGAGAACGGCAGTGACTCCAGCAAAGCCAGATGATCAAATTAAGGGAACTTCAACTGGACTCCTGAGTAAGGTGAAAGGTCTAATCTAGCATGCACACAGAGAAAAAGGACCAGAGAATGTTTAAAAAGCAGATCTACTAAGAGATGGTAAGGGAGAAAAAAGAGGTTTGAAATTTTTCAAGGAGTTACAAAGAAAGAAGTTACTACTAATCAGAGACAAAATACTGGCTAGCGGAAGGAAAGTCCAGGCAGAGCTCACGTGAATATATAAACACGCAAGTGTGTAACTGACAAATGAATCCAAAACTAGCCAGGTAGAAAGAGCAGGATGTGGGCACCTTTGTTAATTCTTATACTAAAACACCTGTGTTTTCCTTTTTTACCGTGTGTGTGTATATAAGATGTATGGATATGTACGTGTGTATATTATATGTGACATACACATGAATATGACACACATATACTAGCATAGAGTGAAATCTATGCTGTATGTACTTTTCATAGTTCTACCATGTCTCTGACTCATATATTTTTTTCATTTGTAGAAAGCCAGTAGAGGAACAGGCATCAGTCTTCCCCATATCTATCCAAGCAACCCACAAGCTATTCTATTTTCTGGTCACAAGCTTTAACTGTGGACATTTATACCATGGAACAGGATTTCATCCCTGTATGGGACTTTCCAGGTCCCAGGCAGATGGTCGTCCCCTATTCTGTTGCTGGACAACTTTTTTTTTGTCTTTTTTTGAGACAGGGTCTCGCTCTGCAGTTCAGGCTGGCCTTGAGCTCACTTTGTACCCCAGGCTGGCCTCAAATGTGCAACGATCCTCCTGCCTCAGCCTCCTGAGTGCTGGGAACACCACCACGCACAGCTGTTGCTGGACAACTTGAACTGTATGAACTTGCTGCCCGCACTGCCTCAGCCTGCCTGCATTAGCTCAGCTACAGGGAGTAAGTCAATGCAACGTGACAGCACACAAACACTTGAAGATGACAGCCACATCCTGAATCCCCCTTGCTCAGGTTACGTGGCCCCAGGGCCTCAGACAGCACGGCTTTCCGCGTGGCCCTGTGCAGTACAGCAAAGGGAACACTCACCGCACTTCACCATTCCCACTTCATAGCACTTGCGAAGCCGGCAGGCCTGGCAGCTTTTCCGCCGGTTCTTATCTATGGTACACTGGTTTGTCGCAGGGCAAATGTAATCGTTATGTCCTACAACAGAGCAAAACAAAAACAGAAACGGGGGAGGTTGTCGTTAGAATATTTTGGTTAAACCTCTTCTGCGATAATAGTACCCAGTTGAGAGATACAGGTAACAAATGCCAAGGTTAACCACATCATCTCCTCGATAATGAATAAAGGGGCCCTAGGAATAGTTCGACGTCCTATTTTTTGGCTAACAGCTTATTTCCTCCATGCTCCTCGAGCTCTCAAGAGATGCACTTAGAAATACTCTCACTTGGATATAGAAACAGTTACGTGAAATTGAATTGCTCCAAATCCCAGAATTCACAGAGTTGAGTATCAAATTATCAGATTCAACTCCTTACATTCTTTTACATATATCCCTCTTTGGAATTTAATATGATGTGAGAATTCACAGTCAAATAAGATAATAAAAATAATTTTAAAATTAGCAATCCTCATAAGAACAGAAAGTACTGCTGAGACAACTGTGTGGTGAAGTATGTTCTCGGCTCTTCACCCGTCGCTCAGCCTTGTTGCTACACAGCGCATTTCCTCACCATATGATGTCAGCCTTGGCCATGAGGCTTTTTTAAACCAATGGTAGGTTAATAGACAGTACTAACAGCTGGCTTGCCCTATTGAACTCCCTTTAAGGCAGCTGCCGATCCAAAGAGAATGTGAGGACACACAGAAGAGACCAGAACTCAGCCGGGCATAGTGGCACACGCCTGTAATTCCAGCACTCAGGAGGCTGAGGCAGGAGGTTTGTTGCGAGTTCGAAACCAGCCTGGGCTACAAAGTGAGCTCAGGGCCAGTCTGAACTACATTGCGAGACCCTGTCTCAAAAAGACCAAAAAAAAAAAAAAGGAGACCAGAACTCAACCCAAAGCCAGAGCCAGATCTCCTGAGGTAGAGCTACCCTCACCAACACATAGACCCCTAAGTACAATAACTAATGCTCAGGGGACATTAAGATTTTGAAGTTGTTTGCTACGTATCATTCTCTATGACAATGGTAGTTCTAATTTCTGTCTGTAGGGAAGGGATAAAACTTACATTCCAAAAATTATTACTTCAGATGCAGTAAGGGGAATGAATCAGAGGCAGCAAAACTGATGGAGGCAAGGAGACCAAGTGAGAACCCACCGCATTTGTGCAGAAGAGAGAGGCTGTCTGGACTGGACACTGGTAAGAGAGATGATGAAGACTAATGGGTCTAAGAAAGATTTAGGAAATAACAATTGTAATAGTTGGAAAATAAACTGAGTAGGTATTTTGGCGTCTTGGTTTCTGAACTGTATCTTTCTAATAAATAATATAGCTTAAGCTCTTACATTAAGGATACAATAGACCAGAATCTCAGTGTGGGCAATGGATAAATCTCAAGAGCAAATCATAAAGAACATCTAGAAAAAAAAAAACACACACACACACCAGAGTATTCTATTTATTTTAACATCTAAAATTGAGCAAACAGAGCGACAGTGCTGAGGGATGCAAGCACGCACGGTGAAACCCCAGCAAGGCAGGCAGGCAGCAGTGAGAATTGCGACACCTTCCTCTGGAGGATGGGCAGGACCTATGACTGGCAGCGCTACAGGGCTCTGAGGCACTGTAGTACCCTATATGTCAGTGATGGCGAACCTTTTAGAGCTTTCAGTGATAACAAACAGCCCGCTGCCACACATGTGCCATAGGTTCGCCATCACTGTCCTGTTATTTAGCACTGATTTCATAGGGGTTTGCTTTGTATTATTCTTTAAACTGGATACATATTGTGCACAGAACTTTACATGTATGTTAGCACAGCAAAAAAAGTAATCAAAAAACGAATCCCAACCTTGTACCAGTCTTCACAATCTTTTAAAGTTACATAAATCTGTCATTTAGCAAAGAAAATGGATGTGAAATACAGCAACACATTCCAGGCTTCTCTTAGGATCCTTTTCTTCTGTTAAAGTACAACTTATATCTTTTGTTTCAAAATATAACCTCTCTAGAGCTGGGTATAGTGGTGCCTGCCCATAATCCCAGCACTTGAGAAGCTGAGGTGGGAGGATTCCCACAAGTTCAAGGCCAGCCTGGACTACATGGCAGGATCTCGTCTCAAAAAGAAAAAGAGCTATATCTCTAATATGCCCTCATTGTCATTAAAGTATTTTGATATTTTCTTCTATCCATCTTCTATCCATTAAATTTCCCTCCCTATATTTCATGTTTTAATTTAATGTCTGGAGCAATGAACTATACCCCTAGCCTTTTTCAAATTTTGAGACATCTTGCTAAATTTCCCAGGCTGGTCTCAAACTTGTGATCCTTCTGCCTCAGCATCCTGAATAGCTAGGATCACAGGTTGCATTAACACATTTTATTTCATCAAAGTATACAAATATATATATCCCATATATGTGAGAGCTGGAAGGCTGTCACCTACATAAATGCTTATTTCTGCATGGTGGAATTTGGGGATGACTTCACTGTCTCCTGCATTACATTTTCTTACATAATCTGAATATTTTTATCATGAGCACAGATCATAGTTACAAAAAAGAAGGGTTTGTTGTTTTTGTTAGTACTGTTCCTACGAGTAAGGCGAGGTGGGGGTTGACAGTGAGGGTAAAAAGGCGAGGTGGGGGTTGACAGTGAGGGGGCGGACCTGAGCAGTGTGCAGAAGTCTCCTACGTGGGGCGGGCCCCATTGCTGGGTGTTGAATCCCCAGTGGGGTGAAGAGTGTGTCAATCTGAAGGAGGGAAGGTGGCAGCCACAGAAAAGATTTTATTATACAGAGGATCCAAGTTCCTCACAGATTAGAGACATGAGACACAAGTACGAGAAAGGAAACAACTAGAAAAAGGCTTTTGGTGTTGAATTAGAATCAATAATATTGTTTTTCAATACATAGATACGGAAACATAGAAGCATGTATGTCTATATGCATATATAAATACACGTATGTACACACGTATAAAGTTATTCCCTAACTGTAACCCCTGAGGGGACCTCGGAGCAGGGGTATTGTGAGAGCAATGAGAAAACTATCACTCAGATTTGGGTTTATAAATACCATTCTCCACTAAGAAGGCTCCAAGGAGAAATAGCCCATTCTAGGACTGAGACAGGAAATACACAAGGTAAGTCTGAAACAGCTTCTACAGTAAGTAAAGAAGTGCCCAAAGACTAACAGGAACATTTCAAAACATAGAGCTTCCCCCGGCCATCTTCTACTGGTATCATGTAGACGTTGAACAAATAATGATGCTAAAGACGGCAACCCTCTGCAGAAAATAGGAAGCTATAAGTTGCCCTGACACAAGTTAATTTACTGTAGGTTTAATGAGGAATAGGATATTTACACAGTCTCAAAGGATTTCCCAACAAAAATACTCATTAATTACCAAAGGGGAAAAAAAGTACTTTTACAGAATAGAAGATAGCCAACATCTAAGACAAATTAAAATCATGCATCATATGAACAGCGCTAATGAGAAGACCACAGTTCTGTGATATTCCTGCCAATAATGTGTAAGCCAGTCTAATGATGAGGGAACATCAGACAAACCAAGAGCAAAGATCTTCTGCAAAACAACCGACCCAAATCTTTCAAAGCACTATGGTCATGACAATTCAGGAAGGACTGAGGAGTGATTCTGCACAGAGACTAGAGATGTAACTAAATGCAAAGACTGTTCCTGAACCAAATCCTGTGCTATGAGGGCACTGCTGGGAAAAACTGCTAAAACTGGAATGCAGGCCAAGGATTAGATACCAGTAATGTACCGATGTTCATTTCCCAATCTAGACAGTTATATTGTGGCTATATGGAAAATACATGATAAAGCATTTGAGGATGATGAGAGTATAATGTCGGCAACTCAGATGATCACAGAAAAAAGGTTCATTATTACATATGCACATTTTGAGGCTCAGAAATCTTTCCATTGACTTTCTAAACAATATAGTTGCTTATTCACATAGATACAAGTACAAAATCAAATACAAGTCAGCTGAAATTTATCTGTATTTCAACTGTTACTGTTTTAAGTCTTGAAATTAACTTCACTTTTTCCAACTCACCAGACTTTTTTTAGTCTTTTTAATTTCTTTTTGTATTTGGCTTTTTGTTTTTTTGAGACAGGGTCTTGCTACGTAGTGCAGGCTGGCTTTGAACTCACGGCAATCTTCCTGCCTCAGTCTGCCAGGTGCTGGGATCGCAGGTGCAAGAAGCAATGCCCGCCCAAGCCAGCACACCAGCATGTCTGACTACCTGCTGATTTCTAGGTACTTTTCATCAACATTTCATTTAGTTACATAATTTTTCTATGAAGACCTCTGATCCGTATTTTACAAATAAAAAAAAAGGCTTAGTCCAATAATCTCCTTAAGATTATCGTTTTAGTTTCTATGCTGCATAACAAATTGTTTAAAACTTAGCAACTAAAACCAAAGCATTATCTCATCACTGCCATGAGTCAGAAGTGAGGGCAGAGCTGAGCTGGATGCTCACCGAGGGTCTGTCAGGCTGTGATTAAGGTGTGGGCGGGGGCGCACTCTCATCTGAAGCTCAAGGTCTGCCACACTCTTCAATGTTGGTGACCGAATCAGTCTCCTGCAGTTGTAGGACTGAGGACCCCACTTTTTGCTAGCTGTTGGCTACACACTGTTCTTGGCTCCTGGGAGCACCTGCAGTTCTTAATCCACAGGTGGTTCGCAGCATGATTCTGCTTCCTTGCAGGCAAGAGAAAGGAGCCTCTGTGACTCCCAATCTCTCTGCAGTCAGCGATGACCAAGTCTTATATAATCTTAACATATTCCAAGACTGAGTCCCAGCACCACTAGCTATGGGGCGCAACCTACCCAAGGGGGGACCCTCATCACATGCACAGATTCTATCCACGTCCAAGGGTAGAAGGGAACAGAAGGTGTGTTACAGAATTTTTAAAGGAATAGACAATTGTCTTGCTATCGTTTTTAATATTCTCTTATCACATATAAAAAGAAATTACATTTGTGAGAACCAAACTATA